CTGGGGCTGAAACACCCGTTGTGGGACCAGTGGAGACATAAAGCCCCAGGGTGTGGAATAAAGACCTTGGCACTGGAATCATGCCTAAACCAATGTGGGGCAATGGAAATACTGAGGCTGGAGCTGGATAAATGCCATGGGGGAAGGGGATGGAGCTGCAGCTCAGGGCCTGCAGGAGGTGCCTGGGGGGGGCCTTTGGGCAAGTGCTGGGCTGAGACCCAGGGGGAAGGGGAAGGTACCTGTTGGGCTTGATGCCTCAAGTGGCCCCAAAGTTGGGCTCCCATTAGGGTGGGTAGGACAGTATCTAGAGACATTGAAGTGATAATAATAACTGATTTGTGGCCTTATCAACAGCCCCGGGCTGCAGTGAGAAGCAGGAGCAGCTTTCAGCCACCAGTAGTGGGAAGCTGAGGAGCTGGAACTGAGGAAGCAGAGCTGGAGCAGACAGAAACATGGTAGGGTTTAGAATAAAACTGTTGTGGGGCTGGGATAAGGAATATGGAGCTGGGATGCAAACTGCGTGGCTGGAGCTGAAGTCAGAGTAAGGGCTGGGATAGGGCCTTGCAAAGCTGTTCCTGCAGTAAGGATGGTCAGGTTGGGGCTGGAATGTGGGTTCAAGAGCTAAACTCAAACCACAGAGAGCTAGAGCTAAAACAGAGATCCTGCCTGGAGAGCCAGAAAGCAGCATGATGTGTCACTGCTGGGAAGATGAGGAGGCAGAAGCGCAGCACAAGAGCTGGCAGTCAAATAAAGCTTGTGGGACTGAAGCTGAAATCACTGGGGCTGGGATGGGGACTGCTGCAAACGCTGTTCTGAGGGGATAGTGACTGTACATGTGGGAAGCAAGCATAGAATGGTACACAACGGGGCAGGCTGTAAATACAGTAAAGATTGCTTTGGGGTTGGGATGGGGTGGGAGTGGCATTTCTCAGCCTGGAGGTGAAACCTCAGAGCTGGAACCAAGAAAAAAGACCCTTTATCTCAAACTGGAGCAGCTTCACCTACCAGAGAGGGGGGAAAAAGAAGCGGATGTGGAGCTGGAAGAAGAGAGCTTGCAGTGAAATAAAGCTTGTGGGCCAAGAGCTGAAATCACTGTGGGGCTGGGAAGGGCTCTCCAGGGCTAGAGCTGAAATCACTGGGGGGCTGGGATAGGGACTGATAATGGGATTGCCACTGTAGGATCTGTGTGCTGGAATCACTGTAGGCCTGTGATATGGATGTTGGGGCTGGGTCCTGTGACTGGAAATAGAACAAGATGGGTAGGGGCAAAATAATGGGACCGTAACATGGGAGCTGAAACGCTGGCAGTGCTGGGATTTTGTCTGCGTCTTTGATAGCCACTGTAGGGCTGCTGCTGAATTCACTGTGGGGCTGGGACATTGACTCTGGGGTGGGCTTCTAGGCCCTAGGGTGGGAGCTGAAATGTTGCCGAGCTGGAGACAGGAGGAAGATCCTGCGCCTTGAACCTGGAGAAATTTCAGCCAGCAGCATTGAAGAAACACGCATCTGGAGCTGGAAGAAGAGCTTGCAGTGAAATAAAGCTTGTGGGCCAAGAGCTGAAATCACTGTGGGGCTGGGAAGGGCTCTCCAGGGCTAGAGCTGAAATCACTGGGGGGCTGGGATAGGGACTGATAATGGGATTGCCACTGTAGGATCTGTGTGCTGGAATCACTGTAGGCCTGTGATATGGATGTTGGGGCTGGGTCCTGTGACTGGAAATAGAACAAAATGGGTAGGGCCAAAATAATGAGACCGTAACATGGGAGCTGAAATGCTGGCAGTGCTGGGATTTTGTCTGTGTCTTTGATAGCCACTGTAGGGCTGCTGCTGAATTCACTGTGGGGCTGGGACATTGACTCTGGGGTGGGCTTCTAGGCCCTAGGGTGGGTGCAGGGTCTGGAGTGGCACAGGGAGACGAGCTGTTGTTTCTGCGGGACAGAGAGGAGCTGTTTTGTAGTTTCTGGATTGAAGATAATGTTTAAAATATCGGGAATAAAGCTGGGTTTTTTTCATTTTTATTATTTTTAGTTTGATTTTATTTAAAATAATAACGATTTTCTTTATTACATTGCTTTGTTTTGCTCGTTTTATTAAAATAATAAAATTATTATTAATTACAATTACTTTTAACAAGATATATTATCTTTATATGTATTAGTTTAACTAAATATTAATAAATAATGATTAAATATTATCTACTATTATTAAATACTATTTGTTAATCATTATTTAATTAAATATTTATTATTTATTAGTTTGTTATTATTTACTAATGATTATTTAATACTATTAAATATTAATTAAATATTACTTATCAATAATTGATTAAATATTTAATATTTATTTGTTAGTTAGCTAATATTTATTAATTATTGTTATAAATACACTAGAAACAGATATATAAGGAAAGGTTTTTATTAATTACAGCAAGCCAGCAATAAGCAAAAGTCGGCGCCAGGCAGCAGGGAGGAGGAGGAGAAACCTCCTCACCATTTATTGATTATTAATTAAATATTAATTAAATACTATTTATTAATTATTAAGTAAATATTGATTAATTATTTATTTGCACGTTATTATTTATTATTTAATTATTAATTAAAACTCTAGGTGATTTCCAGGAGCAAACAAAAGGCGATAGTCAAGGTGCTAGTGAACTGGTGTTAAAAGACAAATTCTTCATTGTCAATCCAGCTACCATCCTTGTTCAGTTAAACTCTGCAACAGATCTCCCACAAAGGTAATTTTCTGCTTCTCTGGCTTAATTCTATTCATCTTTTAGCGAGTAATTAGCACCGCTTGGTGTTCTTTTAAGCCCAACTAATTGCACCTTGTTTTAGGAGAGAAAGTTAATGCCTCTCCAAGTAGGTTAGTGCAGCAATTTATGATGAGAGCTGGGACCAGGCAGAGGTGTGGACCAGGGGCACCATTGCTGCTGCTGCTGCCGCCGCCACCAGAAGCCTGGTGCTTGCTCCATTGCAAAGATTTCCCAGTTTTAATTTGAGCTGTTTTCTGGATGCTGTGGCTAGCAGCAGTGAGCCCACATTGCCAGCGGCTGCCTCTGCTACTTAGCAATGGTCAGAGGGGTGCAGGACAGACTTGATTGCGCCTGGAAGTGTGTGGCAGCAGAAGGATGCCCACAGCACACCATGGTCACATGGTTATAGAGTCATAGGGGATGGTGACAGGGCCACCACCTGCCACACAGTCAGAGGGGCTCAGCCAGGACCAGCTCTAGTGCCACCAGGGAGGCAGAAGGGGCTGGATGTGGCTGTGAGGCAGTGGTGTGACCCTTACAGGGAAGTCCTCCTCTGGGATAGTCACTTTGTAGTGATATCTGTAGGTCAAGACTCCTGCTACAGTAGCATTTACCAAATTGTTCTTTGCTCAGTTGTGTCCTGCTGTTGCTGCTTCTGAAGGATCATGGAATCACAGAATGGTTTGACTTGGAAGTGACTTTAAAGCTCATCTCATTCCACCCTTGCCATGAGCAGGGTCACCTTCACTAAACCAGGTTGCTTCGCCCTGGCCTTGAACACTTCCAGGGATGGAGCACTTCCACGATGGCTGTTTGACTTCCTTTGCAATGGCAAATGCTTTTGCTGGGGTTCCTCTGCTGAAATCACACCCTGACCAAATGCAACACCAACAAAAATCTGGACTTGTGCCAGACTGCCATCATCAGAGCTCAGCCAGCAAACAGTGCTCAGCAAAAGGCAACTAGACATCGTGTTTGGAGGCCTCACTTATGGAGCTGCTGATGAGGCATCAGTGACTTTGATAATGTCAAGGACTAGAAAGCAAATGCTTCCACGATAAATCTTGTCTACTTTGAAAGTAGGTTATACTTTGAAAGCGCTTTAGTTCTTAGGAATTTAATATTTCTATGTCAATTGTAAGACAAGTAATTGGATGGGGAGAAGGTTGTTACCGGAACCTGAGATCAAAGGCAGGATTTGAAATGATGTGCAGGTGGGTGTCTTTGTTCACTGCAAATGTGACTCTGGAGGTTTTGCAGGCACCACTTGTGTTTGAAATCATGGAAGCACAGAATATTCTGAGCTGGAAGGGATCTGCATGGATCAACTCCTGGTCCTGCACAGAACACCAAAATCCACCCTGTGCCTGAGAGCGTTGTCCAGATGCTTCTTGAGCTCTAGCAGCCTTGGGGCCATGACCATTTCCTGGGGACCCTGTTCAAGTGCTCAACCACCTGCTGTGGGAATACCCTTTACCTAATATCCAGGCTAAACCTCTCTGCACGCATGGCAGAGAAGACCACTGTCCCAGCACCTGCCATGCCCAGGGTACTCATCCACAGACTGGTGTGTCCATGGAGGGAGGGGCTCCAGACCTGGGCTTAATCCTCCCTGGGAGGATTGTTTTCCCTTCCATGAGAGCGGGTTGTTTTAATCGCACTAAGCAGTTTATATTGAGGTTATCGAAAACTCTTTCTGCCCATGCTGGGAGATACTTGGGTTGTTTCTAGAAAAAACTCTGCCTCCTCCTGCCCTCACTCACCCCTTCCTCTCTAGGGAAGGAGTTTTCCACATCCCATATGCAACATTTCCCTGATCTGTCCCTTTCCAAATTGCAAGCTGCACAACTGTGAGCTGGCATCAAGACTCTGAGGTAAGCACAAACTGCCTGAACCGAGCCCTCCCTGTGGGGCCGCAACCCCAGAGCCCCTGGACATGGAGCATAGCTGCAACACCATGGCTGTGGATTTCCCTGAAAGGATGAAGCAGCACGGTGGAAGTCCCGGGGCACTGTCTGAGGAATTGCCCTCCCTGTGCCGTGCTCTCACCTGGGGACAGCAAGAATTGTACAGCCCTGTCCCAGAGCTCTATGCCCAGCCTGCCTGAGCAGTGAGCAAAATGGGATCAGTTTAATTATAATTTGATATTCCAGCCTTAAACTTTCTGTAAACCAGTGGCTGCTGGACAGGTGAGCTGGACTCCTGTGCCTAATGTAGATTGATAGCAGATCAGCTTTTCTGTCTCAATTTGCTTATGACCTAGAGAATTAGCAGAGAGGATCTGTTATCCTGCCAGTGCACTAATGGCTTTGGCAAGAGAAGAGCTCCCGAGGGAAGCAGCGGTATTTGCTAACCTTTCCGCAATTTGCTTTACATAATAACACACTCCTCCAAACGTCCACAGCGTGACTGGCCATTCCCCTTCGCCTGCACGTGCCTTGATACTTCACTTTTTAAATTTCACAACTAGTGCACAGTAAGAAAAGGTGCTGAATGCCTCATGTCATTCATCTTCCCTCTCCCTTCAGAGGCTATTCTTAGCCATGCCATCGGTTTAGCAATTCAGAGGGAAGTACTTTTCCTTTTCAAGGTCTCTAAAGGTTTCCTATTTCTCTATGTCCAGCTAGAAAAGAAAAACAATCTGAATCTGCCTGCCAATCTGCCCTTCAGCTCACTGGTTTTCTCCAAAATGTCTTGCAAGGCTGGGAGCATAGCAGAAACCCTCTCTGGGGGCACTTCTAAAGGCAGTAGGACAACTGAGCACACAGTGTGCTGAGGATCAGGCAGGACACTCCAATGACACACCATCCTAATGAGCGTCTGAAAATTAGTTTTTCAGGAACAGGCAATGGGAGTGGAAGCAGGAGCCCAAAAGGGGGAATGAAATTGCTAGTGGTGAACCAGAGAAAATGCAAGTTAATTCTCCTTCTCCACATACCATTGTGGAGTGGGAATTGCAGCCTGTCTACTGAGAAGCAGAGATCAGCACATCTCCTTTGCTTGGAAATGGCTTTGCCTAATATCCCAGTGCCCACGGACTGAGCTCA